ACTGAAGATCAGCCTGGAGGAACTTCACTCTGAGCAGACTTTCTTCCCCGAAGGGTTACCGTTCACAACCTGCCGTTATAAGAAGATTGTGGCCTCCCATCACATCAGGCCGCGAGACGTTCTGAAGTATTGGCAGGCTCTGGAAGGTTCTCTGCAAGAAGAGTGTCCAGATAACTGAGGGGAACCTAGAAGTGCCTGTGGACCACCGCGGTGATGGCTTTTGAAAGATCTTTGATGGTGTGGCTGAGACTCCCTGTTAGGGAGGGAGCGAGGAAGGAAGAGGCAGAACACAAGGTCCTGCCGCCTTCCCCCTGTAAATGTAAATGCCACCACGGATGAAGCCCCATTTGGTACCCAAGCCATAACTGACACCATCTCTTGAGCACCTACCCTGTGGCACTAATGATGTGCACCTGCATCTTCTCATGTCAGGGGACAGCATCCACATGGAGTGGTGGGTGTCACCGTTGCCACTTCACACACAAGGAGACAGCAGCTTAGACACCAGAGCGAGGGTGAGAACCCCATACCGTCAGATTCCAGGCGGCAGCCTCCATCTCAGTCCACCCCTGTGAGCTGCCTCCTGGGAGAGGATGGTGGTGATGGGGGCTCCAAGGGGGGACCTTGCTGCTGGCATTCGTCAGTCCCTTGTAAGGGTCCCCTCCTCCTTCTCAAGTCCCATTCTCGTGCTTTATACTGCAGAGACTGGGGTGAACCAAAGCCCCCCCCATCCCTCCGGTGCCAAGTTCCCTGTGTTCACAATGAGTCTGGCTGGCCTGAGACCCTGTTAGCAGCTTGGCACTCAACTCACTACAAAGACACGGTTGCAGTGGCTGTAGCTCCACCCCCAGGAAACACCCAGTTCCGGATAGAAACCAGTCTTTAGAAACCAGACTCAGCTCAGAAATCACTGTGAAGCTTGGTCTGCTGTACGGACCTGTTGGCCCTTCTGCTGAGTGGGGGATCCCTGAGAGCACCGCATTTCTTCCCCGCTGTCCAACAGACAGGGGTCTGTTGGCTGCACCTGTCCTTGGTCGGGACTTCAGATCCCCAAGTGCGCACTGGGGGTGGTTGGATGCATCATCCATGAAGGATGCTGGGAGCTTTTCTGGGAACTGGTAATGATATAATTCAAGACCCTCTCAAGCAGCCCCTGGGATGCTGAACATTGAACTGAATCCTGGTCCAAGGTGCGTCTCCATGGGTGCGTGTCCTAAGCCCAATCCCAGCTCAGTGTCACCGAATTCCTCAGATGCCCAAGGAACAGCTGCATTTTGTGATGTAGACTTTAGTATGCATCTCCTGGGGGTTTGGAAGAGCCTGTTCTGCAGGGTTGTGTGGAAACAAAGCACTTTTTTTTTGGGGGGGGCCCATTCAACCACTGTCACATGACATACAAAGCCATCTTGCTCCCAGTCTCCAGGAGGATCGGTTCTTACTTTCTACTTTATTGCACCGAACTTTAGCAGCACTCAGGGCCGAGGCCTCGCATGGCTGTGAAACTTACAAATGTTGGATGAATCTCTGACCTGAACTCGGGAAGAGGTGTCTGCTGCAGAATGGTCACAGCCGGGTTGATCTGCAAAGTGGCATCTTATTTTGCACAGTGTTTCTCGTTTCTGGATGGAGCTTCTTCTTGGCGGATGTGTTTTCTTATCCCAGCTGCTCTGAACATGCTGGGTCATGTTCAGAAAAGCTACCTTCTCAGGTGGGAAAATCAGGGACTGAGCTTGTTTTCTGAAGCCTGGATTTTTGCAGGGCCAGTCCTCAGTTCCGTGGGACAGACTGCCTCTGATTCGGGAGATAATGGTGGGCTCTGAGCTTTGAGGGTGAAGGAGTCTTTGGCAATAGGGCTGCGTCTGTGCTTAGATGTCCACCTTGTCTGGTGTGGGTGTCCATGTGGCCACTGGGCTGGGAGGGGAGGTTCATCTCATGCAGGATCTGGTCTCAGCACCTGCTCAAAGCCCTTAGCATAGGAGCATAAGCACACACTCGGCTCCACCCTCTGTCTGTTCTGAAACAGTTTTCTGCAAAACACATCCCTTGCCCCCATCCCCAATTCTATTTCTTTATATAATGAAGGCCTTTTATACTCTAAGGAAAAACATGTTTTGTGACTACAGAGCTTGAAGGGACCCTTGAGCTCATTTGGTCCGGCACTTACGTGGGATGAAAATAAAGCTCAAAGAGACCCAGAGGCTGGCCCAAGACTTCCCAGCTTGTTTGTCATGGAGTGCAGGTTCCAGCCAGAGGTGTAGTCTGTGATGCTGTCTTGCTTGTATGGGAGAGTCAGAAACTGTGAAAGTGCAAATTAGGAGGCAAAGCGAGGCTTTTGCAATAGCACCCAGAGTGAAGTTCAGAATGGCATTGGAGAGGAGCCAGGCTGGTGTCTTCACTCAGAGCTCCACGGAGGAACGGTGCTGATGTGTGTGCTCAGGTGTGTGTGCTCAGTTGCTAAGTCATGTCTGACTCTTTGTGATCCCAGTAACTGTAGCCTGCCAGACTCCTCTGTCCACGGAATTCTCCAGGCAAGAATACTGGCGTGGATTGCCACGCCCTCTCCAGGGGAACTTCCCGATCCAGGGATCTAACTCTCATCTCCTGCATGGGCAGGTGGGTTCTTTACCACCTGGGAAGTCTGTGACACTGATGGCCACGGCTAATTGCCAGGCACTGAGATAAGGGCTTCACAAGTATTACTTCCTTAAATGCTCTCAACTATTCCCTAGGAGGTGACTACCCAGTTTTCCTGCTTTTCAGTTCAGTTCAGTCACTGTCGTGTCCAACCCTTTGCAACCTCATGGACTGCAGCAGGCCACGCTTCCCTGTCCATCAGCAACCCCTGGAGCTTCCTCAAACTCAGGTCTATCGAGTCAGTGATGCGATCCAACCTTCTTTACAGATGAGGAAACTGAGGCAGAGAGAGCGTGAACAGCTAGCTCAAGGTCACATAGCTGAAGTGTAGCAGAAATAGGTTGTGAACCCAAGTTCTTGGGAGCATCACACGTGTTGGTCACAATTAGCACTGCTGCCCCTAGGCAGTCAGCTGGCCTGAGGGATGCAGTCCGTGTTCAGAGGGAGGCAGGTGCCCCCTGCCTTGGGGGCTCAGGCTGCACGTCTGGCCCTTCCTCAGACTTCCCACACCACACACCCCCTCCCTTTAGGACATGAACCCCAAGTCCTCCGCTGGGCTGGAGACTATACAAAGGAACCAGTGGGGCTCCCATAGGTCCAGCCTTTCCACTTTGGGGCTTGATTCCCAGCTCTTCTAACCTCTACAGAGCAAGCCCCTTGCTCAGGTTGTACTTCCACCCTCGCTGTGTTGCCCTTCTGCCAACTCAGCCCCCACACACCCAGACAGGCTGTTGTTTCTGATCTTCCAAACCATCATCAAGCCCGTTCCCTTCACTGCCCCATGTCTGCTCCTTTGGGTATTCTGCCTGAGACAGTTTTCCATACTTGTCCTCCTAAATTCATCTCCTATTCCATCTGAAATCCCCTCTAAGCAGACTCTGGTGCCTGGCTCCACCAGATGGTTCTCACTGAAGTCGCTGATGACCTGAGATGTGGGTTCCAAGGTCAGGTCTCTGTCCTCACTCGGCTGCCTGCACTGCTGGCCTTGCCCGCTTCTGGGGTACTGGATGCTCTGGATTCTCCTTCTCACTGGTCCCCTCTTTGCGTGTTCGATCTCCTCGCTCTGCCTTGGCCTCATTTATTTCCCCTTGCTGTACTCCGGTGGTCTCATCCAGCCCCACTGTTTAGAAAGTAGTAGGCTTGACTGGATCCTCTTGTGCTGAGGGCGCCCATTTATCTCCAGCCTGGGGCTCTCTCTTGCTTGTCAGCCTCATAAATTTCATGACCTACTTGACACCACAAAGTGAGCAAATATGCAACTGAATTTGTCCTGAACCATCTCCCGCAGCTCCTCATCCACACCACCTGCAGCCTTCACTTCCTCAGGTAATGGCCCTTCCATCCTTCAGTCATTATTGTTGTTCAGTCGCTAAGTTGTTCCCAACTCCTTGCGACCCCTTGGACTGCAGCATTCCAGGCTTCCCTAGCCTTCACTATCTCCTGGAGTTTGCTTAAACTTGTGTCCATTGAGTCAGTGATGCCATCTAACCATCTCATCCCTGCCCTGATTCTTCTCCTGCCCTCAATCTTTCCCAGCATCAGAGTCTTTTCCAGTGAGTTGGCTCTTCCCATCAGGTGGCCAAAGTATGGGAACTTCAGCTTCAGCATCAGTCCTTAGAGTGAATATTCAGGACTGATTTCTTTCAGGATTGACTGGTTTGATCTCCTTGCAGTCCAGGGTACTCTCAAGACTCTTCTCCAGTGCCACAATTGGAAAGCATCAATGCTTCAGTGCTCAGCCTTCATTGTGGTCCATCTCTCACATCCATACATGACTACTGGAAAAAACATACCTTTGACTAGATTGACCTTTATTGGCAAAGTGTTGTCTCTGCTTTTTAATATGTTGTCTAGGTTTGTCATAGTTTTTCTCCCAAGGAGCAAGCGTCTTTTAATTTCACGGCTGCAGTCACCATCACAGTGATTCTGGAGCCCAAGAAAATAAAGTCTGTCACTGTTTCCATTGTTTACCCATCTATTCACCATGAAGTGATGGGACCGGATGCCATCATCTTAATTTTTTGAATGTTGAGTTTTAAGCCACCTTTTCACTCTCCTCTTTCACCTTCATCAAAAGACTCAAGTCAGACACTTTGAAGGCATCTGTGACTCCTCTCTCTTAACCAATGCATTGGCCCTGCCTTTGTTTTATATCCAGAAGCCAATCGCTGTCCCCACCTGCCCCCACCCCACACCCACATCATCTGGGACTTGTGTCCCTGCAGTTGCTCCTACCTGGGCTCTTGGCCTCCATCATCACATCTGCTTCATCTGTTTCCTAAGCAGTGTCCAGACTGCTCCTTTGAAAATATGGACCAGAGCATCTCACTTCTCTGCTCCAAACCCATCTCTGAGGAAGCCCTCCAATGATATCCCATCTTTTAAATCATTGTCTGCCTATGTTATTTCCTAACCTCGTCCCTTCCTGCCCTCCCCTCACTTACTCTGGCCTCCCTGAAAGGGAGTACTATTCCAGCCGCACTGGCCTTCTTGCTCTTCCTGAAATGTCCCAGGCACACGCTAATGGCCTCAGGGCCTCTGCCAGGGTCACCCTTTCCTTGGACAGTCTCATGGCCCATGTCTTTGCTTCTTTAATGTCTTTGGTCATGCATCATCCCTTCTTTAAGAACCTCGTCCTGATCACTTTCTATGAAATTGCAACTCATCCCACCTGGTGCCCCCTTTCCTTTGTTATATTGTTTCATTGCACTGATAATTTCTAACAGAGTTCGAGATCAGTCCTGGGTGTTCATTGGAAGGACTGATGCTGAACCTGAAACTCCAATACTTTGGCCACCTCATGCGAAGAGTTGACTCATTGGAAAAGACCCTGATGCTGGGAGGGATTGGGGGCAGGAGAGAAGGGGACGGCAGAGGATGAGATGGCGGGATGGCATCACCGACTCGATGGACATGAGTTTGAGTAAGCTCCAGGAGTTGGTGATGGACAGGGAGGCCTGGCATGCTGCGATTCATGGGGTCACAAAGAGTGGGGCACGACTGAGCAACTGAACTGAACTGAACTGAACTGATAGCACATCTATTTATTATCATGCATCTATTTTGGTTATTGTTTATAGCTTGCTCCAGTTGAACAAAAGCTTTGTGCAGGAATGGTTCTTTGTTTTCTCCACTGATGTACCTTACATTCTTAGCACAGTTCCTGGTACACAGTCTATACTCAGCAAATATTTGCTGAATGGACATGCGATGACCTTTGTGGCCATTTTAAGGTGATCTTAAAGGGGAAGCAGGGAGCCTCAACTAAAAGGTGAAGGGGTTCTAAAATGTAGCCAACACTATGGATCCAACATGTAGTTCCAGTATCATTCAGTAAATGGGATGCTGAGATCCTATTTTTACTGAAAACTAGGACCTGAAAACCTAGAAATGCTATGTAGTAGTGCTTCGTGACTTCATGCCTCTCCTTTTAAGGAATAGGAAATCTCTCACATTGAGAAGTAAACAGAATTCTATAATGTACTTTCTGTGCCTGCCCACATCCTCCCAACCCCATCTTATCTCATCTACAACCTCCTTCTGTTGCTGGTGGTGGTTTAGTCGCTCAGTCGTGTCTGACTCTTTGCGACCCCATGGACTGTAGCCCACTAGGCTCCTCTGTCCATGGGATTTTCCAGGCAAGAATACTGGAGTGGGTAACCATTCCTTTCTCCAGGGGATCTTCCTGATCTAGGGATTGAAACCGGCTTTCCTGTGTTGTAGGCAGATTCTTTACCTGTTGAGCCACCATGGAGGTCCTTCTGTTTTCCTGATTGTAGAAATTTACTTATTTTTCTCAACTGTATCCGACTTTTACTCCTAGGAGAATGACAACAATAAACCAAGTTGTCAGGAAATAGACCTCATTTCTAAAAATGGTGACAGCTGGAACAGAAGGTACAAAGGCAGTTTCAGATGAAGGTAGAGTTGCTGTGCTTCCAAACTTCAAGAGGTTTTAGAGCTCATCCCTTTAGTTTACGTGTGAATATCAAGATTTGTAGAATTAGAGCTTCAAGTCAGCATTCAGAGGGGTGCTGACCCTCAGTCTGATGCTACACCCACAGTTGTGTACTGATTTTTTCCTTCGTAGGTACTTAATTCCTGTTGTCTTAAAGCACACCATTGTAGCAACAGACCAGGAAAACTCCAAACCAACAAAACTCCCCAGACCTCCTCTCCTGGAGTTCCCCAGTAGCACCTGCTCCCAGACACTCCCCAGGTGCATCTAAAAGGCACATTGAAAACACATTTCTCAGTCTCCTGCCCCCGAGCCCTGTCTTGCCCCAGAGTTTCCAGTTGTAGGGAATGTTGTCACCGACCATCTGCTCTTTCAGTTCTGTGACTTCCCTCTGCCTCTCTGCTGCCCTGCTGTGCCTGTTGGGTGCAGATCCCTGTGGTTTTGACACCATCTCTCCACGTCCATCGTTGCAGCCTCAGTGTAGGCCACCAACTTGGGTCAGCTGGCCTTACGCAGCGTGTTTCTAACTGATCTCAGATCTAATCACAGTGCCCTCCAACCTTTCCTCCACTTTACATACAGAGTAATTTAAAAAAATTTTATTGGAGTATAATTGATTTACTATGTGTTTTAGTTTCAGGTATATAGCAAAGTTTTATATATATATATGTATATATATATACATATATATATATATATTTTTTCTTTTTCAGATTCTTTTCCATCATAGGTTAGTGTTGACTATAGTTCTCTGTACTATACAGTATGTCTTTGTTGTTTATTTTATTTATGGTGGTGTGTGTCTGCTAATCCCAAACTCCTAATTTACCCAGCCCCCCAACCCCCCACCTTCCCCTTTGGTAACCATGAATTTGTTCTCTAAGTCTGTGGGTTTATTTGTATCATAAATAGGTTCATTTGTATTTTTTTTTTAAATTCCATGTATAAGTGATATCATGTGATATTTTCTTTCTTTGACTTACTTCACTTGGTGTAATATTCTCTATATCCATCCATTTTGCTGTAAACAGAGTAAACTTTTTTTTTTTTTGTAAAGATGATCTGATTAGGAAACTCAAAGACTCAGGGAAGCTGAACAATTTCCCCCAGGGAATTCTGTCCTCCTATCCACGAGATGCTGGCTGCTTCAGAGATCAGACTGGTGACCCCAACTCCTTCTGGGCACTCTAGCAATGATCCACTGACCCCTGAAGGCTGGCATAAAGTGCTAACATGCACTTTTTAAACAGAACAAATTAATTTTCATGGGAGTTCTTGGATCCTCTTGAATGTGGCTACTCTGGGGGTAGGGCTGCCTGGGTTTGAATTTTACCTCCCTCTCTCACTCAACAAGCAAGTCACTTATCTTGACTTTAGTTTTTTTTTTTTCCATCTGAAAAATGGGACAATAGTTTTTCTCACCTCGCAGGGTTATTGTGTTAGTCAAGATGATGCGTGTGAATTGATCGATGACTTGAGTGGTTCTGCTGAAGGTCAGTGTCTGGACTTGGATTTTGGTGCATTTTGTAGTGATCTGCAGACCAATCAAGAGATCTTTGGGTTGAGTCTTTAAGACTTTGTTCAACTCTGGCTCCTTTCTCTCCTTCTGATGTTCCCTAGCACTCCTGAAGAAGTTCTTCTATCTGTTGTGTCCTTTAGCATTGCAGAGCACAGTGTTTCTGACTCAGTTCATTCAAAAGGGGTGACAGCCTTAGCAGGTGATAAACAAATGGAGTGGATGTGCCTTCGAGGTTATCTGCAGTCTAAAAAATAGCCTCCTTTTTCCAGATAAGAAAACCAAGACTCAGGAAAGTGGAGTGACTTTGCCAAGTCCTTCAATTACCAGCATCTCCAGGAGCAGAAACCAGCATCAGAAAGCTCATGTCAGCCATTCACTCATCTGTTTATTCACTCTTCAGGCAAATATGGTCAGTGCTTTTTACAGGACACCAGGAATGAGGGTCAGGCTGAGGTTCACGGCCATGGGTTCTGCAAACAGAGTGAGAGCTGGGCAAACACACGATGTCAAGAGGATAGAGGGGGTGTCTGTTCCCTTGGCAACCAAAAGAAGCAGTGTTTGTTCAGTGCCATCTCTGTCGATAGACGCCATGAACCTTTTCCACACCTGCTGTCTCAATTCCTCGCAGCAGCCATTCTCATTATAAACAACCCCCTGGTTTTGAGTTGAGGTTCAGAGTGAACTGTTGACTTGACAGGGAGGCTGAGATGTGAGGAGACCGCCCCTCCGTCACCCCCTGGCCTTCAGTGCCTCCCCTTTTACCAGCGCGTGGTAGGTGAGCCCTCCCATGGTGCTTAGGGACTGGTAAACCTCCTGAGTCTCTCAGGACGCTCAGCTCTGCCCCCGGCCCAGCTGTCCCAGGGGTCTGCCATCTTGTCTTTGTTCCCCTTGCCACCATTTCTTTCCCAAGTGTCGACAACATCTCTGCTCCTTCCTGTCCTCTGTGACCTTCTGGGATTTGGCCTTTGTCACCAGTGGTGTCCCAGGAACCTCCTCTTTAGCTGGGTCCTCTGACCTGTCCTGTCGTGGCCAGCCCTGTCCTGAGCTCACTCAGCTCTCCATCTGATGGTTTGAACAAGTGTCTGGCTTCAGAACATGAACCCCTCCAGGCCACGCCAGCCCACTTTCCACCTCTGTTTACCCGATGACCTTGCCAAAGAAGCTATCCTTCAAAATGGTGTGGATTCCACACTACAGGCATCAGCTTCTATCAGCGTGTGTGCATGTGTGTGTGTGTGCCTGTGGGGGTGATCTGAGGCTATAAGCACAGGTGCTCAGTGCTGGCCAGTATCTGTGTGTTACTGGACCTCCCTGAGTCTGTGAAGGGCAGTAAGAGGAGCGAGGTGAAGTTTGCTCAAGTGGGATGTAAAGAGCAGGAGCCCCCAGTCTTCTCAGCTCTGGGGGCGTCAGTGAGAGTCTGAGAGGTCCCTTTGTCCTCTATGACAGGGCAGGTTCATGCTGCACTGGGTGTGGTGGGAATCGAGGCTGCAGGAATGTTCTAGAGTCGCCTTGTTCAGATATTTTCCGGACTGCACTTTTGAAGCAGGATCTGTAGAAAAAGTGAAAGAAAGTGAAAGAGATCAAACAGCATCTTGAATTTGGATGTATTTCTCCAGAAGCAAGAAGTAGGGTGCACACACTACTATTTAGAGTGGTCTGTGCCTCTGAGCCCCGATACACGGGTTAAAGGGGAGAGACCAGGTTGGGGCGGTTCTCATGGGTTCTCCAGGCAGAAGTCTATGGCTTTACCAGAGATTAAGTAATTAACAAGCCTGCTTTCATATAGCAGCTGCTGTTTCTCCTGATTTTAAAAATAGATGAGATGCTTACCTCGCCTTCACATCTCCCACTGGGGAGTATTTTCTTCTCTCTCTCTCTCTCTTTTTTAAGAATTTATTTCAGTATTTGTCATATCGAGACTGACATTTTAGCAGTTTCCCAGGTGTGGTCAACTCCTTGCAGGTGTCCGAGAAGGGGCACCTTCTCTCTGTTCAGCCCCCTGCCTGGTAGGGAGGAGATACTTTGTCGGTTAGTTTTTGGGTTAGATGTTTGGGCAGAATGGTGGACTGGAGAAAAAGATGAAGTGAACTGCAGGTCCCTTCAAACACTATTCTTAAAGCCTCTTTTCTAGATTGTTATTGACACATATTTTTATTTGTTTGGTTCCATATGATCCAGAAGTCTGTATATGAGCCTGGGCTGAGGTGTGTTAGAAATAAACTCCCAATGGTGTGTCTGGGAGGTGA